ACACTCTACACTTTACACTCCACACTCCCCTCTTTACACTCCTAACTCACACTTTACACTTTACAAGGGACACTTCACGCTTTACACTTTACACTCCGCACTTTACACTCCACCCTCTACTCTTTACACTTTACAAGTGACACTCCGCGCCCTACAATTCACACTTGACACTCCGCACTCTACACTTTAAACCTTACACACCACACTCCACACTCAAAATTTGACGCTTCATGCTTTACACTTGGCAAGACTCTACACTTTACACCCCTCGCTCTACACTTTACACTTCACACTCTACACTCTACACTTTGCACTTTGCACTTTGCACTTTACACTTTACACTCCACACTCTGCACTTTACACTTGGCACTCCACACTCTACACTTTACACTGCGCGCTTTTCACTTTACACTTGACACCCCACTCCACACTTCCCACTTTGCACTCCACACTCTGCACTACACTTTACACTCCACACCCATCACTATAGACTCCACACTCTACACTTTGCACTCTGCACTCCATACTTAGAACTCCACACTCTACACTTTGCACTTTATACTCCATACTCCACAGTTTACACTTCGCCCTCTACACTTTACGCTTTACACTTTACACTCCACACTCTGCGCTTTACACTTGACACTGCACACTCCACACTTTACACTGCACACTCTCCACTTTACACATGACACTCCACACTTCACACTTTGCACTCCACACTCTGCACTACACTTTACACTCCACACTCATCACTCTAGACTCCACACTCTACACTTTGCACTCTGCACTCAGTACTCTACACTCCACACTCTACACTTTGCACTTTACACTCCGTACTCTACAGTTTACACCCCACACTCTACACTTTACACTGCCACTTTACACTTGACACTCCACACTTTACACTCCACACTCTACACTTAACACTCGACTCCACCATTTACACTTTACACTCCACAAGTGACACTCCACGCTCTTCACTTTCTACTCCAAGTTTTACACACTACGCTCTACACTTTGCACCTTACACTCCATACTCTACACTCCACACTCCAGACTCTACACTTGAGACTCCGAACTCCACCCTGTATGCTTTACATTCCACACGCTACACTTTACGCTTTACACTCCACACTCTATACTCCACACTCCACGCTCCACACTCTAGACGTTACACGTTAGACTCCAAGCGCTACACCCTACACTCTACACTTCACACTACACGTTTCACTTTGCACTCCTCACTCTGCACTCCACACTCTACACTGTCCTTTGCACTCCATACTCTACACTGCACACTGTACACTTTGCACTTTCCACTCCATACTCTACCGTTTACACTCGGCACTCTACACTTTACACTCGACACTCCACACTCTACAGTTGCAGCCACAGGTAACAACATCTACGAGGTTTTCCTCCCTGTGTGTTTCGGCAGCTGTACGATTAACATACATGTGAGCATTCGGGTTTGTGGGCTGCATCTTGTTGAATTGTTTTTGGTGTTTTGGCACTGTCTCACTGGTTTCGCGACGATGTTTGGGCAATGGTTTGGTCATGTGTTGTTGGTGTCTTTTGGATCTGGAATCATTCTCTATATGTTAGTATGCCTCTCTACCAAGTTTTTGGGTTATCTCTATCTCTTAGCTTGCAGAGGCTAATGAATATTTGTCCCTAGGATTTTGGAGTTTCTGCCGCTTTTAGAATTTTTGTCTCTAATATCTTGAGGACAAAAATTACTTCAATTTAGGGCCAAAAATTGCCCAAACTTAGGGACAACAATCCCCACATTTAGGGACCGTAACTGCCAAACTTAAGAACGATAATTACCCAAACTTAGGGAAAATAACTGCCCAAACTTAGGGACAATAATTACCCAAATTTGAAAAATATTTCTAAAGAAAACGTGGTAGAGCACCATGCTAATCTATCTATATATATATATAGAGTTTAAAAAAAAGTCGACAAAACTGTTGTGTAGGATTCGTTACCTTGGTATTGGGGTTTTCTGACTGTATGTTATGTATGTATGTATGTATGTATGTATGTATGTATGTATGGTAATGTAATGTAATGTAATGTAATGTAATGTAATGTAATGTATGTAATGTAATGTAATGTAATGTAATGTAATGTAATGTAATGTAATGTAAGTATGTATGTATGTATGTATGTATGGTTATGTATGTATGTATGTATGTATGGTTATGTATGTATGTATGTATGTATGTATGTATTTATGTATGTATGTATTTATGTATGTATGTATGTATGTAATGTAATGTGATATAATATAATGTAATGTATGTAACGTAATGTATTAATGTATTCATGTATTAATGGATTAATGGATTAATGTATGTATGTATGTCTGTAATGCATGTATGTATGTATGTATGCATGCATGCATGTATGGTTATGTATGTTATGTATGTTATGTTTTGATATGTTATGTATGTATGTATGCATGTATGTATGTATGCATGTATGTATGTATGTATTAATGTAATATAATGAAATGTCATGTAATGTAGTGTAATGTAATGTATGTATGTACGTATGCATGTATGTATGTATGTCATGTATGTCATATCATGTCATGTCATGTCATGTCATGGTTGTATGTATGTATGTATGTAATGTATGTAGTGTATGTAATGTATGTAATGTATGTAATGTATGTAATGTATGTAATGTATGTATGTATGTAATGTATGTAATGTATGTAATGTATGTAATGTATGTAATGTATGTAATGTATGTAATGTATGTATGTATGTATGTCTAAATGTAATTAATGTATGTATGTATGTATGCATGTATGCATGCATGTATGTATGTATGTATAAATTTAATATAATGTAATGTAATGTAGTGTAATGTAATGTATGTATGCATGTATGTATGTATGTATGTGGGTGTGTGTGTGGGTGTGTGTGTGGGTGTGTGTGGGTGTGTGTGTATGTATGGTATGTATGGTATGTATGGTATGTATGGTATGTATGGTATGTATGGTATGTATGGTATGTATGTATCTATGCATGCATGCATGTATGTATGTATGAATGTATGTATGTATGTATGTCTGTATGTCTGTATGTATGTATTAATGTAATGTAATGTAATGTAACGTAGCGTAACGTAACGTAACGTAATGTAGGTATGTATGTATGTATGCATGTTATGCATGTTATGTATGTTTTGTATGTTTTGTATGTTATGTATGTTATGTATGTTATGTATGTTATGTATGTTATGTATGTTATGTATGTTATGTATGGTCTGTATGTTATGTATGTTATGTATATTATGTATGTATGTCTGTCTGTCTGTCTGTCTGTCTGTCTGTCATGTATGTATGTATGTATGCATGCATGTATGTATGTATGTATATATGTATGGTATGGATGTATGGTATGTATGTATGTATGTCTGGTTGGTTGTGTGTGTATGTATGTATGTATGTATGTATTAGTGTAATGTAATGTAATCTAATGTAATGTAATGTAATGTATGTATGTATGTATGTAATGCATGTAATGTATGTAATATATGTAATGTATGCATGCATGCCTGGCATGCATGATATGTATGGCATGGTATGGTATGGTATGGTATGGTATGGTATGTATGTATGTATGTATGAAATATATGTAATGTATGTAATGTATGTAATGTATGTAATGTATGTAATGAATGTAATTTATTTAATGTATGTAATGTATGTAATGTATGTAATGCATGTAATGTATGTAATGTATGTAGTGTATGTAATGTATGTAGTGTATGTAATGTATGTAATGTATGTAATGTATGTAATGTATGTAATGTATGTAATGTATGTAATGTATGTAGTGTATGTAATGTATGTAATGTATGTAATGTATGTAATGTATGTATTGTATGCATGAATGTATGACATGTATGATATGTATGATATGTATGATATTCATGCATGTATGTATGTATGCATGCATGTATGTATGTATGCATGCATGTATGTATGGATGTATGTGTGTGTATGTATGTATGTGTGTGTATGTATGTATGTATGTGTGTGTATGTATGGTATGTATGGTATGTATAGTATGTATGGTATGTATGGTGTGTATGATATGTATGGTATGTATGGTATGGTATGTATGGTATGTATGTATGTATGTAATGTAACGTAATGGAATGTAGTGTAGTGTAGTGTAATGTAATGTAATGTAAGTCTGTATGTCTGTCTGTCTGTCTGTCTGTATGTATGTATGTATGTATGGATGGTATGTATGGTATGTTAAGGTATGTTATGGTATGGTATGGTATGTATGTATGTATCTATGTATGTATGTATGTATGTATCTGTGTATGTATGTATGTATTGTAATGTAATGTAATGTAATGTAATGTAATGCATGGCATGTATGTATGTATGTATGTATGTATGTATGTAATGTAAGTATGTAATGTATGTATGTAATATATGTATGTATGTATGTACGTACGTATGTATGTATGTATGTAATGTAATGTAATGTAATGTAAGTATGTAATGTATGTATGTATGTAATGTAATGTAATGTAATGTAACATAACATAACATAATATAATGTAATGTATGTATGTATGTATGTATGGTATGTATGTATGTATGTATGTATGTATGTATGTATGTATGTATGTATGTATGTATGTATGTATGTATTAATGTAATGTAATGTAATGTAATGTATGTAATGTATGTATGTATGTTATGTATGTTATGTATGTATGTATGTATGTATGTATGTATGTACGTATATCTTTTGTATGTACCAACCCAATTCGACGGGACGGTGGTAGTTTGCTACCTCAACTGATAACATATGAATGCTTTCCGTTGCTTGCCGGGCTGGTTTGCAGCTCAAGAGACCCAAACCAGGTTAAATAACTGGGCTTTTGATCCCACTGCGCGAGCAGCCCAGCCAAATTTTGTGGCGTAAATGAAGAATTTTTTTGGGTTCCTGCAGGACATGCTTGGCATAAATGTCACCTACACGGTCCCTGGAGCTGGAGGGCAGGTTGAATGCTTATACTCCGTGGCTGGCTGCTCTGCGCCCGGCAATTCCTCGGACCGAGGGTGTGGCCCAGAAGGGCCATCTGTGACTTGGTGATACAAGGCGCAGGCTGGATTCTTTTGGGCCTTTTGCTGCTTGTAACGGAACCAAGGCATCAGCGCAGGCAGTTTTGATATTAGAAATTTCCAACAGACAGTATGGGTGCGAAGATATCTTCGATTGGATGAACCTGCATTGGCAAAGCAAATGGTATGGATGCTGTTCACACAGCCCTTGATGCATAGTTGAAGGATTTTCAGTGCATATGTACGCATCATTGATTTTCAGTGCTTAGGATCATTGGTTCATCCGAACAATTCGCATTCGACCACTTCTGGACCCTGTCCTCACCGACCTTTGATTGTTGCTAGTAAAAAAATCATCGCACCACCCCAATGGAGTCTTCAGAAACGATACAGTAATTATTTTCATCAGCTAGGCTGACTTGAGTCCAACAAGCCCAGAGCTCAATTTGATGATTAAGAGATGCATATTCCCGTTGGTGCTCACAGGTGAACCAACAGGGTACAAGCCAGCGATGGCCAAAAGTTCACCATTCAGTGGCTTACTGAGTCGCTTCAGTTGTGAGGTGACGTACCAGCACGTGCAATTGGAGGCGTGGATGGGAAACTATCCCACGTTGTGGGCTCTGTTGCAAAAATACAAGACCGCACCCAAACTCCTGACCTCCATGGGATGCTTGGATGGCCTTGGGCGCCGAGGAGAGTTGATGAACTTATGGCGTGGGTGGATGTGTACTTAATGTAGTGAGTATAGAAGGATGGATCTGTAGGGAGGACATAAGCAGTATACAGCCAGTATACGGATAGTATATGAGCGGGATACAAAAGGTGTGAGGATATTCTAGTCGCTTCCTGCTTGTGGGGGAGGGAAATTGTCCGGGTCGGGCACGCGTAGTTTAGCTGGGGATGCGGGCTGAACACGGGCCTTCTTGAGCCCAACCTGACCCTGCTGGGGCCAAACTTGACCATACTTAGCCCTAAGTTGAGCCGAGCATGCGCCAACTAAGTTGGGCCCAAGATCGCGCGACTTCGGCATGTTTGGGCGGAAGTTGGGGTCAAGATGGCGCAACTTCGGCATTTTTGGGCGCAAGTTGGGGTCAAGATGACGGAAGTTGAGCCCGTGTGAGGGCAACTGCAGCTGTACGAACCGCCATTAAAGCATTGAAGCAAAGAAAAATAGGGAAATAGCTGTGGCACGTGTTTTCAGTCCGCATTATTCGCCAAGTTGCACTATGTTGGACCCAAGTTGGAGCCAAGCGAACACGTTGGGCCGAAGCTGGGCCCCATGCACCTCAAATGTAGGTCCAAGTCAGGTCCAAGTTGGGCCGAGCGCAGACCCACCATGGCGAACCTTGCCGAGCACGAACCTCCATTGAGGCCGGGAAATATTCATGTTGAGTCCATACAACTCCTTTCTTGGACCGAAGTTGCCATCAAACGAATCCAGCTTCGGTTAAAGTCAAGTGCGGTCCATGCTGTATTGACCCCTCCCAGCTGAAGCTGTACCATTGATTCATTGATTCACTCGTATCACCTTCAGTGCGGGCGGACTTTTTCTCGGTAGTATATTGTTACAGTAGTCGCCTGCAGCGTGGTTGTGGGGGGGGAGGATCCTGCGAGTCGGCATGCTCTTGGGATTCTTTCGGGATCCTTTGGCCTCCATACCGTATAATGGCGCTGCAGCCGTCATGACAGGACACGGAATAATATACACAGTACAAGTTGTGTAGGTGAACGGATCAAATCTTCTGGCCTTTGCCAGCTCAGGATACGAGGGCTCCGAGAGCATGTATTTCACTTCGGCTGTGTTGCACGCTGCTCATGAGGCTGAAGGTTTGGCTTTGGACTTTTGGACTGGTTGCTCGACCAAGTCTTGGCAGCTACTGTACCTGGCATTTTCAGCATGGTGCAGCTACCTACATCTTACGCACCCACACGCGCACATGTATATATTTATATCTATATATATATACACATACATACACATACAAATGTAGATATGCACGTAGTATGTATGATGTTTGTTTGATGCAGTTTGTTTCTGTACTAAGGCACACACTGTGGGCACATGTGACGATCCAATCCAATCTAAACCAGTCTAATCTAACCTAATCCAGTCTAATCTTATCTATCTAATGTATCGTATCTATCCAATCTATCTAGTTTTGGTGTATCTAGTTTATCCAATGTTTCTAATCAATCTAGTCTAATCTAACCTAACCAAATCAAATCAAATCTGATCTAATATGATTATCTAATCGTATCTATCTATCTATGAGCACGGCTGTACATGTATATTATACACAATGTGAAACAAGGTGGATGCGTTGTGTGATGCACGCATGTGATGCATGTATGTGACGCATGGATGTGGTGTGATGTGATGTGATGTGGTGTGGTGTGATATGTTGTGTTGTGTTATGTTGTGTCGTGTTGTGTAGTGACATGATTCTGTGCGATGTAATCGCATGGAATGGGAGGCGATGTGTATATGTACATGCATATATATATATACATATGGGTTTGTCTGATTAAATTGGACCCCAAATTTGATGCGTTTTCATCATTTTCCCATTGAAATTGCGCCTTGGGGTTTTCCATCATTTGAGGCAGACCCAGAAGTCATATTATGGATTATATATCCCACTGTATCCCCAATGCATTCCATTAAAATGCCAGGTACATCATCTTTTCCCATATTTTACCCATTATTCTCAAGTACAAGTTCAACACCACGATATTTTATGGTCATTGACGTTTTTGAAAAATCATTCTTCAAATATCCGTACAATCTTTAGATACCATGAAATATCACCAAATGCCATTGTAGAGTCTACTTTTATTAAATATAACATTCGTACCATTTGAATACCAGAAAACATCACTAAAACATCATTAAATCCAATAACATTAGATCATTAGATATATGCCAAACTTTATTTTGCTCGATCCGGGCGGCTCTTTGCATCGTTTCATGCGCCATGGCCCCTCAACCTGACAAACCGAGGCTTCGATGCAACATGGAAGCAGCCTTGGCAGCTTGGAACGCGATCACCCAATAGGGATGGGTCAAAACCCTTTAATTACTAATAATGACAATTTTTGGAGGAACAAACATCCACTAACCAGCTGTGACTTTGGGATTTAGTGGTGATTTAATGGTTGAGATTTCATGGAGTTGAGCATTATCATGGTGATTTAATGGAAATTTCATGGCGGCTCGATGGTTGTATATCATCGTATTTGCATTCCCAATCCACCATAAAATTACTCATTGCCTCCCATTTTCCCCCTTGCAAATTTTAAATCTATCCGTAGCCGCATAAAGAAATCCTCTAGGATTGATAAGAATTACCATATTTCGAGTGATCCCCACCCTGACACATTATTTCGACATAGTTTCTGACCTATTAGCTGGAATTATATATGGCAGGCAGCAGGCATAGATTTTCTGACATTCTTGCTGACATTCTTTCTGACATTCTTTCTGGCATTCTATCTGACATTTTATTTGACATATATTTCTGGCATTCTACCCGGCACATATTCTGACATTCTTTTTGACGGTCTTTCTGGCATCCTATTGTGACATTCTTTCTGACATTCTTTCTCTGGCATTTTATCTGACATATGTTCTGACATTCTATCTGCCAATCTTTCTGCATCTGTTCTGACATTTTATGTTCGGGTCCAGCCGTGGTCCACTGCATCCGGAGCCCGCGATATGGCTTGGATCGGTTCATGCCCACAGTCACGACGAGCTGGCAGTGGAGGCGAAGAAGGAGGAGGACGAGGAAGAGAAGGAGGAGCTTCACCTGGCAGGCGGCAGGTACTACTAACAGCCTCGTCGAAGATCTTCGAGGCTCCAGCTCAGGCCACTGGACAATAAAACGCGTCCGCCCAAAATACCAGACAAAATACGGCGCCAACCAAGTCAAACTGTAGACAAAATACAGCACTCCGTGGCAACCTGAAAAGTCACTCATCCCCAATGACCGCAGTGGTGGACGAACTCCGGTCCCAATCGGTCCCAATGTCTTCCTTCCCGAACCGCCCCAGATCACTACCTCCCTCTTCCCCTCTTCCCCTCTTCCTGTTCAGGCGTCTTACCGAAATCTGTGATTCCATTGGCCATTCGTATCAGCCTTATGAAAACTGCCCTGTCCTTATGGTATGCGCTCCAGACGTGCATAGAGTTAGCCCTATATGAAGAGCAGTCCATAGCCGGCGAGGTATCAGACGTAATCAAGGCGTACCATACGCTACCATGCATTTCCATGATTGCAGCCGCAGTACGGTTGGTGATTGATGCACGGGTGGTATAGGCGCCTGGAGCACTGCTACAGTGGCGCTTCAGCGGCACTTCATGGTCCAAAGTTCACCAGCTGCACCCGTGGCTTCTGCAATAGGCTTTGTCGAAGGTTGTGGACCTAGTGTAACGATAATGCTGATGATGAGTGTTTTCCTTCTTCACATGTATTTGCAGCGGGTACGCCCGGCAGTGTCCTTCCACACTTTTGCAGACAACTTTCAGCTTGAGGGGCAAGAGGTTCATCAAACACAGCAAGCATTAGCATCCTCGGACAAACTTTGTGGATTGCTGTGAAGATATATGCAAAAAAGGCATATAGCTGGGGCGCAGCCGCTGATGATAGAGTAAAACTTCGCACCATCAGCATCCAGCCCACCAGCGGCGCGCGATCTGGGAGGCCACCTCCAGTACACAGCTCAATGAAGTACTGACGCAGTTTAGTTTTGACTTGCCTACAGGCCCTGACCGAGCTGTGGCCGAAATTGGCAAGATCTCCTAGTACACTCCAACGAAAACACCAAATTTTGCGGGTAGTTGCATGGCCACGAGACCTTATGGTAGTTCAACGGTTTACACTGCATATGCACATTTGGAACGCCAGGGCCGGTGCAATGAATGCACTCGGACTTACCAAGATGGGAACACAACCGCAGTTGCAAGCTTGGGTTGGCCGAACCTGCGATCATCGACCCAGACTTTTACATCATTTGGGACGCTTTGTCACAGATGCGAAGACATGTCATAGAACCAGTTTTGACGTAGTCATGGTGCATGCAGCCAGGGCCCATTGGCGTTTTGCTCATTCGACTAAAAGAAATTGGTTGGAAGGAGGGCCGGTATGGTCTAGTGGATAAGACGCATCCCTCATGCGTCAGGCCCGGGTTCAATACGCAACACTAGGCGGACAGGCGGGCCACTATACCCACCCCTGCAGTTAAGGGGATGAGCTAGGGCGTGGTCCGTAAAAACATAAGAAATTGGTTGGAAGTATATCACAAGGACGGAAATTTTCATCATGAACATGGTAACTTCATTCGTGGGTCACGAAGTCGTTTCAGCAAATGGTCGGTGCCAGATGTTCATGTAGGAAAGAGTTTGCAGGTCAGCTTGAGCAAAGTAGATGCTGCACAGTTCAACCAGGAAGAGCTTGGAGCCCTGAGGGCATTACGCGCTGGAAATTCCATCACTCAAGACCATTTTCGGCATGTGGGGGCTGCCAGAGTGTTCCAAGAACCGAGAACGGATGACTGATCCACCAGCCTTGCGGCCATTCAAAAATGCTTTGTACAGTATTCCAGATATGTTTTCATGTTCCGCTGCTCACACATGATCATTGTCACTTGTTCTGTGATGGTGCAGCCTTGGCGCCTACCATTCCTGACGTGCGATTAGCTATGTGGGGAGTCACAGTTGCAGGGTCAACAAGAGTCTTGTCCAGTCTCGTGGGGTGGGCCTTACGGGCAAGTGGCAAACGGTTGCTAGAGCAGAGCTTATCGCTTTTCTTTCAGCAATAAGTTTCGGAATCTGTAGTGGAAGGAAGTTTTCAGTTTGGACAGACAATCAACATGTGGCCGACCGACCTACGTTGCAAGGAAGGTTTCAAGAAGTGGCTAGCAAGTGGGCTAATCATGATTTATGGCTCCAAGTCCAGGACATCATTCCGAACTTTCAAGTGTGCCAGATCCAAGTTGTCCGGTCTCACTGAGCCGACAAGCTGGCAGCATGGGCACTGAGAAGCAATGGCGAGGGAGAAGACGAATGAAAGCAGCTCTACGACGTGGCAGGCTGGCGCTGGAAGGGGGAGACAGGGCACATCAACCAACTGGAGATGCGCTCGGTGCTTACCACCGTGCTCTGGTTGGTCCTTCAACAAAAAAGGCACAGCTGCCGCATCCTCCATTTGATTGACTCCCTAGTTGTCCTCCATTCTTTATCCCGTGGCGGTAGCTCTAGTCAGCGTTTGCGCCGCACAATCATGCGGATCAACAGTTACTTGCTCGCGACAAACCTCCACCCCCATTGGGGATATATACATACGTCATACGTCCCAGAATCCGGCGGAACGGCCGAGTCGGCGTTGCAAAGTCCGGAAATGGCTTAAAGTAAAACGGCATCTGGAGGGTCGCGCGAAGCAAGAGCGCCAACGAGTCCGCAAAAGTTTAGGCCCCTTGCGGTCTCTTGCTGTGCAGCCTAAGACTAGAGCTCGCTATGACAATGCTAGGGATAAGTTTTGTGCTTCTCTTCGCTCTAACCAACTTCTTCTCCCTCGGGTACGTTCCAAGATGGACGTTTATGCCATTTTACTCAGTTTGCGGCAATCTCTGGATCGCGGTGCTGGCTACGGCTGGGTTTTCTCCGTGGCAGCTTCTGCTACGAATTTGGTGCGCTTTTTGTTCATCACAGAGCTGGCGGGCCAATGACAAGCACTCGCTTCTTGTTGGCTTGCAAATAGAGTTTTATGGCTAGGACGTAAAGGGTTGTAGAAACCCGGCGCACAATGCAGACAAAGGGAGTTGAATTCCCCAGGTAAAGAATGCCAAGGTTGCAGTGCGAAAGAATACCTTTATGTATGTATTGCAAGGTGGTGAATACCTCGGCACTGATGAGGTGATGAATACCTTTCAAACTGGCAACAGCGTAACTAATGCAAACAGAAGGTGACTGGTTGATGCGACGCGTTAAGTAATGTTGTCCCCGCAGGTCTGTACATGAGATAGAGTTCTAGAACGTGGCGCGTGGTTTGAAACTGGAAACTTCTGTTTTTCTGAAGTTTTTATATCCCTGTTTACTTTGGGTTTGTGTGTTGATGGATGTTGTTTTGATGATCGATGTCCTGATGTAGATGAGTCGAGTGCAACTGCGGACAATATGGACATAGGTTGTGACCTAATGACGTACATGTTTTGGATCAAGGTGAAGCAGTGTGGATTGTTCTGTTTGATTTTTTGGGAGTTGTAGGTGCGCAGGCTCCGGCCTGCTGCATGGTTAGGGTGCCCGGGGCGCGCGCGGGGTCGTGCTGCCATAGTTTCTGGGTCTTCCACTGCAACTTGTCAGACCACTGGATTTTCTGCCGTATTGCATTTTCGTGCCATTGCGGTGAGCTTTGGATTGTTTTTTGGTGGTGTTTTCACTGGGGTATGCATTACATTGGTCTGGATTTTTGCAGGAGTCTAGCACCTACACTGTCATTGGATTGGTCTGCCATTGTTTTCCATCTATTGGAGCCTGGATTTTGCATTGAGAGTGGATCTCTATCGCAGAGTTGCTTGTCTGCGGGCCGCCTTTCCAGCGACGCATTTGGACTGTGATGGCGTCGTCCGCATCCAGTCGGAAGCCAGGTGGGGATGCTACGTCAGGAGAGGTCCAAAGTTCAAATGGTGTTGCAAGTGAATGCAATGAAAGTGTTTATCTTGATTTTCTGAGAAATGCCACGCAAAGGTTTTTCATGAACTGCCAAAGCCGGCAATTTCTTTTTCCAAGCAAGATTTTGACCGCTGGAGAGCCACTGGTCAACCGGATTTTGAGAATTCTACAGAGGGAGAGTCAATACACTTCCCCATGCCGAAGATGGCGAAGAGGGCTCCAAAGATTTCTTGGGAAGCGAGGTTGACAGCACAGAGAGCCGCCAGTATTGCGAAGCCTGGAAGTCTATCGTCAATGTTTCTTTGACATCTTTTGAGCTTGGTATTCAGTTGGCGAACAAACCACAGACAGATCTGGGCGATGTATTAGATAATGTATCAGCTGCAAAGGCAACTTCGACTATGCATGCAAGGGCGGACGCATTGATCAGGTATATATCTTGGGCCAAGACGAATGGGCATGTTCCGATCCCTTTTTCAGAGACCGTGGTGTATGCTTTTGTGAATGATGTTGGATCCAGGTCTTCCCCTACATTCCCAAGGAGTTTCTACTGTGTTCTGGAATTTGTGGGACATGTGGCGCCAGATGTTACAAGGAGAAAAGGATGCTCATTCAGAAACCGCCCATTAAGGTAGATCATGTGAAGATTTTGGAGAACATCATGCAAGGAATCTCTGAATTGAAGGCTCAGGACAGAGTTGCTGCGGGGTTCTTTCCGTGGATGATCTATGCAAGGGCTTGGTTCTCTGATGCACAAGCGGCATCTACTATTGTGGAGGATGTCATTGGGATGGAAGATGGACCTGACGGATTTATTGAGGCTCAGGTCCACAGGAGCAAGACAGCCATCACGTTGGAGAGGAAGACGAGGTATTTGCCTATGGCCGGTCGAATTGTAGGAGTTATTGCAAGGGACAAGTCTTGGGCTCTTGAGTGGATGAAGGCCATCCGTGACTGCAAGCTGCCGGTTGGCTCGGGCAGGCCTTTGTTGCCTGCTCAAACCGATGCTGGTTGGAGCAGTTTGCCGGTTTCCGCCCACGTCGCAGGCAGAAGGAGCTACTTTGCAGGAAATCATTGGGTACATGGACTGGAAAGTATGGGCTCGATGCGAACACCAGAGCCAGGTAGGGCTGTCATTCACGTGGAGCAGGTGGTACAGAATTGGTATATGCCAGGGATACCATGGCTCAGCCTCTTCGAGATTTGAGCAAGGTCTTGGAACAGGTCTTATTGGGAGAGTTTAACCCAGATGCTAGGCCGAGTCCAAGAGGATTTGCAGCAGGTCTTGAACTCGTCCAGCGAGGGTTCTGAAGACCAAGAGGACCCGGAACATGAACAATTTGAGAAGGCCCAAAATCATGTTATGCAACCTTTTGCAGGAAATTTTGATGATTCAAAGTTGGATGGCATGACGTTTTTCAGGCATCCAGTTTCGAGGGTTATTCACATTACGTCGGATGAGAGTGGTAGCCTTTTTAAATGTGGCAGGGACATAAATCGTGTGTACATTAATTTGGGAGGGAAGCCGAAGATTCTTCACCCCACATGCAAGCAGTGCTTCAACAAGGGCATGATGAAGATCTTGCCGCAGTGAAGGAAAGGACGGGGTTGTGCGCGTTGGCAGTGCTTTTGTTTTCTGTGATGTTTTCTTGTTTTGTGAATTTAGCTAGTGGTTGGGGCACAGGGTGTTTAATGCAGTTTCTTCTCAAGTGTTTTGCATTGATTCGTGTGCTTCCCCATGGGGTATACTGAGAGCCAAGCGGTTTTTGAGTCCAGATTGGCTGCAGTGGGTTTTGATGCGGATGTTAAGGAGGCTTTGGTTGACAATGGGGTGACCAATTTGGCTACCCTGGCTTTCATTTCGGAATAGACACCAGCAGTGCCGTTGCTAGAAGCTTTGGAGGCTTTGATGAAGAGAGAACAAGAACATGGTGGAGAAAGGTGAAGAGATTTCAACTAGGAAGTTGTCCCGGAAAGGCATGATCGTTATGTCAGGCAGGTTGAGAAGTTGAAGGGTGTCACCATCAAGGGTATCACGGAACCCTCGGACGGGTTGGTGCCCTCGGATGGGTTGGTGGACATCTGTTGCTCGATTTTTGATGACAATCGTCTTCGATGGGTGGACTGGTCCAAGCGCACATCCAAGGAGCAGGAGCTCACCGGAGAGAAGAAGGATCGAGCACACCTTCACTGTCAGGAATGGGACGATCAAGATTGATTCCAGGCCCCAAGAAGTTCAGGCTGACACGGCAACGGATGTGCTCATGCAGCATGCCTTGATGCGCAGGGCCCTTGCCTTTGACCAGGCCAATTTGATGGAGTTCACCAAGTGCCTGAATTGGACGGATAAGTTGATGAAGGCTCGTTTAGACAAGCCGCCATCTGGTTTTGAAAGGCCCTCCAACAAGCAACTCATGGCCGCGGACACCAAATTGTTCGAGGAAATGGCGGACCTCACACGGCAAGGGATTCACAGCCAACACCCATGGGGAGACCACTCGATGCTATCCTGGATCAGTGCAAGGCCATGCATGAGGTGGCGATGTTGCTTCAGCCACGCCAGTTGTGCAGAGCTGAGGCCACCTATGACAAGGTGAAGGGCCTTCGTGGAGGTGTCTCCCATCTTCGACAGGAAAAGGGGAAAGGAAAGCCCAAATCCAAGAGTTCAAATGCCTTTGTTCGTATGCCGCATGAACTTATTGGTTGCCACCCCAAGACGTTGAAAGGTGAGAACATTGAGAACATTTGTTTTTCATTCAATGTGGGCCGATGCAACGAAAAGGTTTACAAAGGAAAGTGCTCCAGGGGTGTGCACGTTTGTTGTGCTCCAAAGTGTGGTGCTCACCATGCGGCTATCACTTGCGACAAGTTGCCGTCGAAGAACGGCAAGAACTGAAGTTTTCCTATGCATGGAGTCAGCCAACGCATGAAGGGTGACGTGTGCTCTTTTGATTTGACCCCTGAAAGTTTGGCTGATGATTCGGATGGAACCGAAGTTGTTCCTGAATTGGTCACAGGACCCAATGACCGGGCCACAGAAACCAATGGCCAGAAGCCCTCCGGGGCTCTTGTGTCAGAACTGACCGAGAAGGATGGGCCTTCAGTCGGTTCCAATGTAAGAGTTAATGAAGTGAATGAGGAACCGCCCTCCGGGGGCGCGGAGTATGTTCAAAATGTGGAGCAAGTTAAATTGAATGAAACAGTCAAACTCCTGATGAGGGTGATGCCAGTGAACACCTTTTGCAAGGTGGGGAGTGTCACATGTGATGGGGCTCCTTCACGCCATGCCCATGGACATGCTCCGCTGAGTGCTACATGCGATAGTGCTCAAGGTCAGTCCACGATTGGTGGATATTCGGTTCCGAGTGCTGTATGTGATAGTGATAGTGCTCAAGGTGATTCCACGATTGGTGGATTTTCAAATGCGAGTGCTGCATGTGATAGTGCTCAAAAGTTTTCCACGATTGGTGGATCAATAAAACCTATGAATCCTGTTTTCGTTGAGGATCCATGCTCGGATCGACAACCAAATTTACCTGTGTTTCAAACAGTTTCACAAGATGTTTCAAAACCCCTGAAGGCTATCTTCATTGAACTATGTGCAGGATCGGCCAAACTGAAAGCTGCATGCGCTCAAGCAGGTTTGACGGCGGTTGCAGTGGATCAGATCTCGAACCGTCACACCACATCACCATGTAATGAATCTGGATCTCTCTGGTGAAGGCTCTTGACAACTGTTACGCCGTATTTGTGAGACGCATGAGATTATTTGGGTACATATTGCACCTCCCTGTGGGGCAGCATCCCGTGCAAGGGATCGCCCAATGTCAGCCACTCGTTTTGGCCCACGTCCTTTGAGGTCGGTACAGGTCCTATGGGTTTACCGTGACTTCATGGGTCAGATTTAGAACGTGTACAAGTGGCAAATCGTATTTATTCAATGACAGCTGATTTTTGCACGTGGCTCTCCGACAGGCATATTGATTGGCCTATTGAGAATCCGATGGGAATTACCTTGCTTTATTCACTTCCGGTCAGCCGCCTCTTTCTATGATGTATGCATGGTGGCAACAGGGCGAAGTATACAAGTTTTCTTTCGACGTCCTCGGTGCTTGAGTCCCTTTGCCTTTGGTCCTTTGGTGTGACGGTCAACATGCTCTCGGATGGATCCTTCTCTACTGCGACTGAGGCTAAATATACGACACTGCTAAGTGAGCGTGTGGCTGCAGTGGTGGTTTCATGTGCTTTGGACAAGGGCTACGTTGCCCCTGCCACTTTGGATCAGTCGACCCATTTGCAATTGAATGCTTTGGCGGTGCATCGACAACCTACCAAGTCTATGCCACCGTACCTGTTTGAGTTTGCCTACGTGACAGGTGTTGGTGACAAAGGCTGAACCTGTCTTGGATTAAAAAGGCAAACTCCTGAAACCGTTTCGCTCTGTGCCGGCCGGGGCCAAGCGTCTTAAGATGGTGCGTAAGCGAGTCGGAAATGACTTTGGAATCTTTATGATGTTTGGGGTGTATAGGAAACCTTCTCAATTTGTGGAAGAGGTTGAAAAATTCCCGCACCAATTTGATATGTTTTGTGATGTACCTGATTGTGTTTTGAAATTGATATTTTTGATTTTGACCAAGGGTCCTGTAGGCATGGCAAAACACAGGATGAGGAAGATTGGTCAGTGGAGGAAGTGGCTATCTGAGCTGGAGCCTCAAGAGAAGGCGTTACATGAGGGTATGGATGCTGAAGTTGGGTTAGTTTTTGAGGCCTAAGAACATCCTGCTCATGTCGAAGATAGCTGAGGATATTGGTTGGCCGGACAAGTCGATCTGCGATGACGACATTGCACAGGGCTTTTATCTTACAGGTATTCCGGAACCTGCGGGTGTGTTTTTACCCGAAGCTTCTATCCCCAACATGACAGTGGAGCACTTAGATGAGTTGAGCAGTATTATTACGACGCAGTTGTGGGAGAAGATCAAGGGCTCCAAATCTGATCAGGAGGTATGGGACATCACCCTGAAGCAAGCGGAGGAGAACGATTGGCTCGCCAAGCCGATGAAGTTTGATGAGCTGGAAGAGTGCTTTGCTGGTGACTGGGTTCCGGCGCGTAGACTTGGGATACAGCAATCTGGCAAAACAAGGGTCATCGATGATTTCAGTGAGAACGGCACGAGCTGTGCTTTTGCGTCTCAAGAGAAGATTGATTTGAAAGCTCTGGATCATGTGGCTTGGTGTGGCGCAACGTTGGCTAAGGCAGCCTTGGTTTCAAGGACTATTTCACTTAGACTATCAGATGGGAGTTGCGTAGCTGGTCCGGTACATAGCCATTGGAATGCCAGCAATGAGAAGATTCTTACGAAGACAGTCGACCTCAAGTCAGCCTACAAGCAGTTGACAAGTCACCCGTTGGAAGGGAGGAGGAGGTCTGTGATATGTATCAAGGACCCGAAGTCGGGCGAGGTGTTTGGCTTTGTCAGCAGGACTACCTTTCGGCGCAGCTGCTGCGGTTCTGGCATTCAACAGAGTTGCGCGACTGGTTTGGAGGATCTTGATAGAAGCGGGTATTCTGTGTGCCAATTACTTTGATGACTACCTGGTGTTGGACTTTGCCTCGGCCGCCGGTGTGACGGTTCATGCGGTCAGATCGATCATGGCCTTGCTAGGGTTCAAATGCTCGGTCGATAAGGAGATGGAGTTTGATGAGAAGACGGACATGCTGGGTGTTTGCGTAGATACCACTGAGGTCAAAGATGGTACAGTTTTGATTTCCAACAAACCTTCTAGGGTTAAGATCTTGGGTGAGAACATCGAGGAAATTTTGAAAGTGGGTCGCATCAAGGGCTGAGATGTTAGGCTGTTTGGTCGTTTGCAGTTTGCTGAGCATCAGATCTCAGGAAGGATTGGTAAGTTGGCCTTGGCCGAGTTGAGGCAGTTGGAGGACAGCAAAGGTAGCGTTTGGGTCTTGGACGAGGATGCCAGATGTGAATTAGAGCTCTTGAGGTATCGGTTGTGTTCTCATCCCCCCGCGTAAGCTGAACTTCTGTGACCCTGAGGTACCGGTATTTGTTTTTACGGATGGTGTGTGCGAGCCGTCCGATGACGGACGTATGTGGCTTCAGTTGGAGGAGTCCTTGTGTGCGGCGACACTAAGCAATATTTTGGTGGGCGCCTCGATGGGAATTTGGTCAAAAGTTGGTTGGATGGCAAGAAGCATATTGTTGGATTGCTCGAGTTGTATGCAGTCATCTTGGCCAGGTACCATTGGGATGTTTTTTGAGAGGCCGCAGGGTTGTGTTCTTTGTGGACAATATTCCATCGATGAGGTCCCTTATTACGGGTACGTCTATACTGAGAGACAGTGGTGGAAGCTTTTGCGGAGCATGGAGACTATTGAGATGAATGGCCCTATACATATTCTTGGTTTGCGAGGGTGCCCTCTGATTCGAATATTGCGGATGGCCTGAGCAGAGATGATTATTCGGAGCTTGAATTTTTTGAAGCTACGATGCCCGTTTGTATTTATTCGCAATCGTTGGTACAATGTTGACGTCGTGCGTCGTAAGTGAAGCCATGTTCTACTTTAGTAGATAATGCTTTATCTGGAAACAGACGGTCGATGGTGTGGTGCCAAATGTTGGCACCACGCCACCTGCTCTTTGCACCTTCTTGTCCCGCTCCTCGCGTGCCCGCTGCTCGCGCTCTCCTCTCTGTGCGCCTCGCGTCCCTGTGCTGCTTGCCTCTGCTTCTTGGCCGGTTATGTGTGACCGAGTCTCGGGTTCAATTTATGTTTTGGGGCGCGCGCGAAACCTTCCTCCCAAACGTGATCCAAGCTGAACAAATTTGTTTCTGAAGTTTTACAGACTGTTGTTTATTTCAGAGTTCACCTTTTTTGAATGCCTTGCAATATGTTAACTCCCTTGTTTGGGTGTCTTAGTTGGACCTTTTGTTGTGGCGTTAATGTTGCAGTGCATTATGTTAAGTGAAACTCTGGAACAAAAGTCTTACGGGAACACACTTGAACTTTATTGTGTCGTGCCTTTTGGGTCAAGTGTGTTGGGAGCGTCATGTGCTCCCACCCTTTTTCTTTCCCACCCAGCACTGACACTCCCGTGTTCCACACACTGGCACATATAGTGTCCATGTTGACACCTCGGTTTGCCTAACCCTAGCCGTTTGAAGATGGCACCGAAGCATACCCCAACTTAACGTGTTATCCGAGATGTGAGCAAGAAAAAAGTCCTGGATGCTGAGTGACCGATCGATTGCACTTTTGTTTTCATTTCCACATGTCCTGAGTGTTTTGCAGTTTTTGAGTTTGTTTGGCCAAAACATCTTTCGAACTTCACGGTAGAGCTTTGTTTCAGTTTTGGGGGTTACCGCGTAGGTCGATGGGACGTAGGTGCTGTGAGTGATTTGTTGCGGGTTGCGAGTTGGTTGCACGCAAGTTTGTTTGGAGCGTTGTTTGCAAAGAGCGGTAAGTAAGTCTGTGAGAAGATAAGTGGGAGTATTGTGCTACCTGTGTGGTGGTTATTTTCAACTGCATGAGATGCAACCGATGATTGCGGTTATGGATGTATAGATGCACAATTGTTGCAGATGGATGAATTCTGCGGATGAATTGATATGTCCCCGAGAAAAGCAAAGAGCGTAATATCAAATGGGGCAGTTCAAAAAAAGGGGAATTAAAGAAGAAAGAAAGGAACAAGTAGGGAATGATTTAAGTTTGTAATGCGTTTGTAGTAATGTGTGCGTATTGTGCACTAGTTGTGCCATAAGCTTCTTGTTGGCTTGCCAATAGAGTTTTATGGCTAAGACGTAAAGGGTTGTAGAAACCCGGTGCACTATGCAGACAAAGGGAGGTGAATTCCCTAGGTAAAGAATGCCAAGGTTGCAATGCGAAGGTGGTGAATAACTGTATGCATGTATTGCGAGGTGGTGAATACCTCGGCACTGATGAGGTGATGAATACCTTTCAACCTGGCAACAAGCGTAACTAATGCAAACAGAAGGTGACTGGTTGATGCGACGTGTTAAGTAAGGTTGCCCCTTCAGGTCTGTACATGAGATAGAATTCTACAATGTGGCGCGTGGTTTGAACCTGGAAACTTCTGTTTTTCTGAAGTTTTTATTTCCCTGGTTACTTTGGGGTTTGTGTGTTGATGGATGTTGGTTTCATTGATCGATGTTCTGATGTAGATGAGTCGAGTGCAACTGCGGACAGTGTGACATAGTTTGTGACCTTCAGATGTTCAAGATGGAATGACGCACATTTTGGATCAAGGTGAAACAGTGTGGATTGTTCTGATTGTTTTTTTCCACCCCCCCCAACACTCTGTGAACTTGCAGGTATTGATTGTTATATATGGCTGCGTCTTGGTCCAAAGCACGAGCAGGGCCTATTCCGAGAGATGTGAGCGACTCTGAAGACAGTTCCAATGAGATCCTGGAGGATGCCACTATTGAGCCTCGACGTTTTTCTCTGTCGCCACGTATGCCTCGGTTGCATTCTATCAAAGGACCTTTTCAACTCGTACTTGGTGGTATTTTGGTTGACCCTCCTCGGAGTAAAACTCGACGTACTCCATTTAAACTGATTGAACGGCTTCCGGATCAGTTACAGGGTGTTTTTCGGTTTACCTGTGAGACTGGATATGTCTACAGGCCTCTCGCTTTGGTGTCTGGTGGTGATACTCCAGGTGCTTGGCGCAACGTCTTTTGCTCTGTGGAATATCCCAGGTTGGTTTTCAATCTGTCGCCTTTGACCGAAGATATGTCCTGAGGAGATCCGTGCATTCAGGCAAGTGCATGATTATACGGCACAATTCGTACAAGAATTCCACTGTTGGCTCTCGTTGTGTGAGGTTACCAAACATGAAGGTTCTCCTCATCGACCCATCCAACAAGTGCATTTCCATGTACTGGTATGTGAACGCCCGGTGCCACTACCTCGTGCCAATCTTCAGGGACTCGATTCGGAGGAAGTTGCTTATAGACTTGCCCTCGCCATTGCAGGGCCTTCTCAGCGGGGATTTCGCTTCAGAGACTGCGGAAAGTCGAATTGGGGGTTCGGCCTTCGCAATGGTCGCGTGGTTCTCCTCCTCCTTGATGGGAACAGCTGGGTCCAACTTGAACCTGAAGATCCTTTGTTTGGCAAATGGCCGCGCAAGAAGCTTATTGGAAGTTTCTGGCCCCTTCTCGCTGAGATTAATCCCCAAGCAGCCACCGATATTGAGCAGCAGGTTTATTGGCCAGTTGATGGCACCCAATTCGATGCCCAGGCTATTTGTGCTTTCCTGTATTGAGACGGTTGGCTGGTCTTCATGAGCCCCAACAGTGGAACCCATTTCGGTGATCTATTCTCGGTTCCCTTCATCGTCTTCTTGCTTGACTTTGACTTGATACTAATTTTGACATTCACTATGTATGCATGGTATTCCTTTGAGTTTGTGGCCCACAACATTACAATATTTTATGCACAACCGCAATCATCCGTTGCATCCCATGCAGTTGAAAATAACCACCACACAGGTAGCACAATACGACCTGTACAACACTATCTCACAGAGAAGGTCACTCACTCAGGCGCATCATGCAGAATGCCCAGAAGCTGTAATACGGCAGAAATCATCAATACGGCAGAACAAAGCCATTTACGGCAGAATCATCTAAATACGACAGAACATCAATGCAATATACGAAGCAACCACAATACGGCACAATGGAGCAGTTGCCATACCTGAAAACCATTATACGTCGAAAGCCCAAAAAGGGCTCGTGACTTGATATGTCCTCGAGAAAAGCAAAGAGCGTAATATAAAATGGGGCAGTTCAAAAAAAAGGGGAATTGAAGAAGAAAGAGAAAGCAAGTAGGGAATGATTTAAGTTTGTAATGTGTTTGTAGTAATGCGTGTGTATTGTGCACTAGTTGTGCCATAGTTGCTTGTCTGTTTTGGCTTTGGTAAGTTGGCGGTGGGTCAAAGCCATGCTTCGTATGGCTCTTTTGGCCTCGTTAGTTGCTGAGTTCGTGATAGGCTAGGTCAATGTCCAGCTCGGCTTGACTCTTTTGACCTTCTTGCCGGTGCTCATGAACGTGGCGGCCCTGAACGGTGAACCTCACCCATGCTGAGACTTTATGTACAGGAAGGCGGCTTCTTTTTGAGGCTATGTATGCACAGGATGGCGGCCTCATTTTGGGGCTATATGTATAGAAGGTGTTTTTATGGCGTCTTAACTGCTTCACTTCGGTGAGGAGCAGGTTGACGTCCGATATCAACAGCAACAACTTTGTGAACACCTTGAGCATCTTTGGTGCGCAGGGGAGGGTCGCTTGCTAGCTTCAGATACCTTGGCTAGCCTACAAGATCTGGATCCACATCTCCGGGGTCAGACCCCTGCATCCTGGCGCCTCCTCCGATGGCATGTTCAAGAACGTATTTTACAAGCGTTGGTTGGATACTTCATTTTCCATAATGACCCCATTATGGCCTTGTCTCTTTTATTGGGATTTTACTCCATGCTTCGGACCGGGGAAGTTTTGTCCATCCGCCCCCGGGATGTGCTTATCATTGCTGACCAGACCACTGCCGTAGTTTCCTTGGCTAACGAAGGGTGGCAAACGCACCCGGGGCGACGGAGAGCGTAACCGTTACGGTCCATGAGGTCCTCAGGAGACTTCACCAGTGCCAACAAAATGTGCTCCTTATTAGTAGCATCGGCCAGTCAGTGGCAAACTAAATTTAAGCAGGGACTTGAAGGTCTGGAAATTGCTGAACTTGGCTTTAAGCCATACTCCCTGCGGATGTGGGGGCGCGACATTCTGGCTTGCCCATAGCGGGTCTCTAGATCGGATTCTCCTTCAAGGAAGATGGTTTGCAGATAAAATTGCTTGAGAGGGTTTAGCAGCAGTCGTTACTGAGATGAATGTGTCAAAAACCTCGTTGACTCCGTTTCACAAAGTGTATATTTCTTCAACACGGCAGAAGTTGCCCCCGTGGAAATCAAGAGCAAAAATGCTTGAGCATTTGGTACAGAAGGAGAGGGGGACGTGGAGGAAACTCCTCCAGGAGGGAGTATAGGTTTTTCTTTTTTTAGACAGGGTACCTGTGCTCATGGATCTCGATTTGGCGAGTGAAGTGAGGGTTTAATAGGGTGCATTACTTCCTCCTTGGTTTGGCGGGGATGGGCCGTGTAGGGCCCTGAAAATGTATTTACCCTGGACGTGTGTTTTTTTGAATCAGGGTATGAATATACCCTTGAAGGGTTTTCTTGTTTATTTCTTTGCTAAACGATGTCTTGCTGCGCTCAGAAAAAGAAGTGTGAGAGTCTTTGTTTTCCCGACCCAGGGGTAAAGACGTTAACGCTGAATTTCTGATGAAGCATTTTGGCTTGCAGCTCCCACCCCCCCACCTCCCATCGGGAGGTTGGTCCTGCAGGCTCCTCAACTTGTATAGTTTTTTTAAGACAGAGTACCTGTGCTCATGGATCTCGGTTTGGCGAGTGAAGTGAGGGGTAGTAGGGTACATTACTTCCTCCATGGTTTGGCGGGGATGGGTAGTGTAGGGCCCTGAAAATGCATTTGCCCTGGATTTGTGTTGTTTTGGAATCAAGGTATGAATATACCCTTGAAGGGTTCTCTTGTTTATTTCTTTGCTAAACGATGTCTTGTTGCGCTGAGAAAAAACGTGGAGAGTTTTCTTACGGGCTTATCATTTTTTGACCCCTGATTGGGACCAGAATGGTTAAGTTAGTTGTAGTTATTTGTCATTCGGAAGACTAGGCATTTGGCATGTGACCTCGCGCTTCCGTTCTCTGTAAGGCAATATTTTGACAATCCTGCAGTGGTGAACAAGTCTCAGCTGAAACTTTGCAGTGACACCAACTTGGCGAATCATTTGCTCATGTCACAATATTTGAACATCACGGG